CTATCCTCCACAACCACCCACCCCTCACATATGCCTGCAAGGAACGAGGTAAGGATCGGTACCTGTGTCCATGACAGCAATCCACTGACAAGAGATAAAAGAGTCTAATACACCCATTTCTGACCTTCGCATAACACTGCACAACCTAAAAACACCTCTACACATATTATCTCATTTAATTCCTACAACAGAAACTGAGGCTCAAAGAAGTTAGGTCTTTGCAGAAGGAACAGGAAGACCCCACAGGTTTAGGAAACTCATAGCCTTTAGAGTTTGTATGCCATATTGCCTTACAACTTTGGGGGTCCCCAGCACACACAATTTGCAGGCTTAGAGGGTGTGGTGCAGGGGCATGCATTTCTGGTGGGTGGAGTATGAAGAAGCAAGCCTTGCAAACACACACTCAGACTCCAACCTGTACTGAGGAGAGGACCCCGGACTCAGTGAAGAGGCTTGAAAGGCGAGGTAGTGTTTCCGCCTTCACGTGGCTCCTCGGCTGGACCCCCACACCAGTCCTGGCCAGCTGCTCCCACTGCCTTTCTTGTCCTGGATTCTCCCCTCCCTGTCATCTTTCTTTTTAAAATAGAGATATAATCACATGACATAATTTCACGTAGCATAAAATTCCCTCTTTTGAAGTGTACAATTCAGTGTACAGAATATTCACAAGGTTGGGCAACCATCACCACTCTCCAATTCCAGAACATACCCATTATCCTAAAGAGAAACTCTGCCATTAGCAGTCACTCTCAATTTCCCCCTCTCCTAAGCCCCTGGCTACCACTAATCTGCTTCTGTCTCCATGGAGTTACCTATTCTGGACATTTCATATAAATGGAATCATATGACATGTGGCCTTTTGTGTCTGGCTTCTTTCATGTAGCATGTTTTCAAGGTTCATCCATGCTGTAGCATGTGCTAGTGCTTCATTCCTTTTCATGGCTGAATACTATTCCACTGTAGGGATGTATCACATTTTGTGTATCCATTTATCATTTGATGGACATGTGGCCTATTTTCACTGTTTGGCTATTGTGAATAATGTTGCTATGAACATTCGTCTCCATGTTTTCATATCAACGTGTGTTTTGAATCCCTCTAGTGTCTGCCTAGGTGTGGAACACGGACAGTTGCTGCCAGCCTCCCCTAGGTCTTAAGGGCAGCTCAGCCTCCGAGGTCCCCGCGGAGTCTCTGCGTCACTAAGAAGCTCTTCTTCCTCAAATCACTTTTGTGACTCCTGCCATGGAATAAATGACCTTAAAAGGCCTCGGAATTACTGGAACCATTCCCTTGGTCATAAGCACTAAGTTCAGAATGTCGTCCTGTGGAGCAAGTGACAGAGTGACTTACAGTCACACCGAGACGTGAGTCCGATCTTTCGCGAGAGTGATTCAGATGGGAGGAGGAAAGGAGAGACGCGTGGGAACACTGGCGATCTGCACGGGAAAGACGAGCAGGTGCGGCGGTTAAAGGCGACAGGTAGCTTCTCCCGCCAGCACCGCAATGAACAACAGCCCTTGTTTGCCAATTCATGCATTCCATAGAGCACCGCTGAGCACCGCTCTGCACAGGGACACTCGCATGGGAGCCGTGCGTTTAAAGATGGATAAGACACATTCCCTGAGAAATTCAAACCTTAGTGGGCTGAACAAGACATACGAGGATCGTGGTCCCAGAGCTGCGTTCTGAGGTCATGTCTGATGCTGGCATGTTCTTTCTTTTATGGAAGGACAGTGATGGGAGATGGAGGCAGCTTATGTTTTTTCTAACATCTTATTTGGCAACATTAAAAAGTCTGGCAGCCCGATATTGGTGTAAGAAATTTATCAAAATGTTACTTGTTTCTGAAATTCCTCATTCCTCAACCCCAGAATCTGAGCATGGAGGAAAACAAGATAGTTGATCTAATCCAACATCATTCCCAGGTGTGTTAAAATGGATGAAACAAACAGAGTTGGAGCAGTTATGATTAGCTTAGGACAGTCAGGTCTCAGGGGGCCAGGCTTCTGTGCCAGTCCCAGGGCTGAGAAAGCTGGAAGAGGCTTTAGTTGAAGGTGTTTTATTCCTGGCAAGCCTGGAAGGGGGGTCTTAGCCTGGGGCCTCACAGCCTCACTCACAAGGCAGTTTTTATGCAGGGCTTTCTGTAATCTGTGATTTGAAAGGATGAACCGAAAGGATCAGCAGATTCCGGCTGTGGTCTCATCTGTTTACTGGGAAACCTTTTACCTCTCTGGGCCTCAGTTGCCTCAGTTCCTGCATGGTCACACACCAGCACGAGATCAGCAGCACTCACCTAGTGCTTACTAAGTGCCAGGCACTATTTTGAGGACTTTATTTAATCCTCTAACAACCATATGAGAGTAGATTCTGTTATTTTCCTATTAATCTGCCTGAAGTCTCACACAGTGGTGGGGGCAGGGCCAGGACTGGAATCCTGATCTGCCTAGTAGGAGCTCAAACCACTTCTTTTTTCAAGATTTATTATTGCATATTCTATTTTAAATTAAATCATCAATTCTATCACTATGGTGACAGAATAAGTTGTCTCTCTCTTTTTTTAAGACAGAGAAATTCCTAATGTGACATTGAGTGGTACTGTGGTATTTTCCAAGGCCAGTTCAAAAAATACTGAAAAAGGATAACAAAACACATATTCTACACCAACTTTGAATGCAAACATGTATGAATTTCAATATTATTATGAGCTGTGCTAGAAATTCCAGTTGCATGCATTTTTCTGGTGTATACTTCCTATGTCTAAAGCACAGTGATTTAAGATATGATTCTGCTGTACTTTTGAAATGATTGTTTAATGACTGAAATATTAAAGAGTGAGTGAGAGCAAAAAGGAAAGATAAAAGGCCTTTCAGCATGTGCAACCCTCCTGTTGGCACTCAGACTGAGTTTGAGCTCCACCAAGAACCTTCCTACACTCCCACATCCAAGCCTCGTTGGATGTATACATGTATGTAACGTATATATTGTGTGTACATGTATATATAGTATACATTGTATATATATTGTGTATGTATGTCTATAATGTATATAAATGATAAGAATACCCAGTGGAACAAGGTATTCACAATTATAGACTAAAGGGCAGGACCAATCTAAAATGTGATTTAGGGTAAATCTTGAAGTAATTGTCAAGCATGGCAGCAAATGAGAAATTAAATACTTTTCTAGTTGATCAAAAAACTTCATTAGTAAATAGTTTTTAGTGTGTACAGTGGAGGATTGTTAAAACTCTCCATGGTCTCTTGAGCGTGTTTGCAGGGGTCCTGCTTTGCTGCTCACCACACCCCTCAGCTTGCACTGGTGGAAGATGGAGGGTGGGACAGCCAGTTCTTGGAAAGAAGGCCAGGAAGCACAATGCTGTTAAGCTCGTCAACCCTTCTCCTTCCCTTCCTCCTTCTCTTACTCCAGTTCCTCTTGGTCTGCCCCCCCCTCTGCGGGAGCGCCCCTCCCTCCACCCGGGACAGGGGATGAGGCTCCACTCATCTGCAGACAGAACTTCCCCCAGGGTGTTCCTGTGTTTCCTGGGCTTTCACACCATCATCAGCTGATAATCTGTCACTTGTGCTGGAATCTTCTGGAACAAACTGCCTGCTTGATTATCTCCGCCAGGCTGTGCCTTTGGCTCTCAAACTTAACTCCTCTAATTGGAGCTCGGTGTCTTCCCCTGTCCTCCTACAGGAAGCCTCCACCCCCAGGCTCCACTGAGTGAATGGTACCTCGATGCCCCCTGTGCCATCCGGACCCCTTTCCTCCACCTCCATCATCCAGCCCAGCCCTGGGCCTGCCCCTTTGGCTCCCAGTGCACACCCACCCGAGGCACCCACGGAGGTCCCTGCCTCCTCCTTTATTCTCCTCTGACAACCTCACTCACTGCATTTGGGGGAAAAGCCAAATTCCTTGCCATGGTCTTCAGCCCTCAGAGGGTCAGGCCCCACCGACCCCCCTCACTCCTTTCTGGCCACTCCTCCCTTCCCCAGCCATAGGCACCTCCTCCTCCAGCCCTCCTGCCCCTCCGAGCCTCACTCTGGGCTTCTTGGGGCTTTGGGGGGTGCTCTACAACCACCCCACAGTCGCGAACAGATCCATAGGCAGTGATCCGGCTGGGGGCCACACAACACTAACTCCTGGAAATCAGTATTCACAGTGTAGCTCCATTGGCTACAAATACTGCTAATTCCCAGATTTTATGCTTATGGAATCTCTTCCACAAATACAGACTTTTAGAGTTTACAGACTTAACATGTAAAACTGCTGATTGCTTGCTATCCAAAGTTATATGAAAAAACTAGTTAAATACAGTTTTTGTAATCAAAATAGGAAACATATCTAGAGCTTCTTGATTATTTAACATTTTTCTGGGGACCATTATTCTCAGAAATAGAATGTATCTAAAATAGCAAAGAAAGTAGAAAAATAAATGTTTCATGGAAAAACCATGAGCTAACCGTAGTACCAGCATCCTTTTAAAAAAATTTCTTTTGTAACATTTTAAATCAAATATTTACTTATTCTATTAATTACCACCTATTTTCAGGTTCCAGTATATGTCTAATGTATACAGAATGATCACATTACTTTAAATAAGAACCTGACTTGATTGCAAATGTTAGTATTATTTTGAAATTGAATTTGGGGGCCTCTGTTCCAAAATTAAAATATAGTAATGAATATTTAAGTATATTTTAATTTATAAATATCTCTATAAGTCTATGTAGAAAGAAAAAGAATGAACAGAACTGAAAACAACAATCAGGAGAAAACAAATGAATTCATTTCTGTTTTTTCCTTGAAACACTAATTGCTATTGGATTTTCAATTTTCCATTTTCTAAACATGTCTCATTTTACGAGTCAATTTCTGTAGCAAAATGTTAATTATTTGTTCCTCGCATTCAAGGCACTTGAGAAGTCCCGGGAGAGCCGCGTAACTGTGAATGCGGCACACTCTCCAAAGAGCCTGCGCCTGCACAGGAACCAACTTACTACTGTGCACAGTCGATCAGCTGGTACTCGTTGGATCTCTCAAAGCACGCCTTCACGCCTTCATCGTCCCAAAGTTTTTTCACATGATCAAAGAATTCCTAAAGTTTGAAAGAGTGACAAATAAGAAAACACATGTTATAACCTTTCAAAAAATTAAAGTAAAAAGAACCTGTAAAAAAATTTTTTTGCAGGTAGCATACAAATTTTCTCTGTGGAAGTTTCTAATAAAATGCACAGATCTTATGTTCAGTTGATGAGAAATGTATACATGTGTGTTACTACTCAAGTCAAATTGCAAAACATTCTTATCATTCCAGAAGGTCCCTCAAAATAAAATATCGTAAGTCAAAAGTTAATACCATACATTAACTATAAATACAACTAACAGCATAATTTTAAAGTTTTTAGTACTCAGTAACTTAACTAGTTGAACTGCCACTTGAGCAATAAAAAGACATGCATATTATAATGGCAAGTTCGGTCTTACCTACTGTCTTTTAAATTTTCTATATGGGCTATGATTAGGAATGGATGTGGTCAGGTAGATGGATTACATTTGGCCCAGATGTATTAGGTACATTAAAAAAGGACCTTTAAAATCACTCTTTGGGGATAAGAATGTATTGGTTTTGTTTCGTTTTGCATTTTAAAAAACTGTGAGTTCAGTGTGAACTGTGATTTTTAGTTCACTCAAGAGCCATGCGGTCACTGTGCTCAGTTACACTCACAATGGCAAGCAGGATCTCCTAAAAGAACATTCCTTATCTTAAGGTGGATTCATGAATTGGTAATATTGGCAGAATTACCCAAAATGAATTAACAGAGCTATGGAAGCAACTGACTACATAAGTTGCTAAACACCTTTTCCACGTCAGCCATCTGGCCCTCTCTGGGACCTCAGGGGTCACCTATGTCTGCCTTTGATCTGCACGCAGGTCCTGAGACCCCTTGCCTGTACCAGCCTTCATGCTCATCACAGCTGCCACATTTCTGCCACAGAATCAACATAGGTTTTTTTGGAGGAAAAAAATTAAAGCATTGGTACTTTCTCTTAGAGATTCATAACTCTGTACAACGGTGGATGTATTGTGAGGGCTGATGCTTACACAATTTGGGGGGCCCTCCTTGGAAAAAGTCCAAAATGATAAATACACAATTAGGTACAAAACCTTGGAAGGATGCCAAGGTGCAGTGGCTTATGCCTGCAGGAGAATTGGAAGGCAGGAGAATTGCTTGAGCTCAGGAGTTTGAGGTTAGCCTGAGTAGAGCAAGAGTTAGACCCTGTCTCTTCTGAAAATAGAAAAAAATCAGCTGGGCGTGGTGGGGTGCACCTATAGCCCAGATACTCAGGAGGCTGAGGCAGGAGAATTGCTTTGGGTTCAGATGTTGGAGGTTTCAGGGAGCTGTCATGACGCCACTACGCTCTAGCCTGGGCAACAAAGCAAGACTCTGTCTCAAAAATCAAACAAACAAATAAACAAACAAAAAACCAAACAAAACCTTGGAAGGAAGTGAGGCACCTTGAGCTTATTAACCTTGGTCATATTAACCTCTAGTAAATCCAATTCTGATTTTATACTATCAGGAACAATCTTGTAAGCTATGGCATAGTATCCATATCTGTCTGCCACCATTATCAACAAATCCAAGTTTCACAGTTGACAAAGACCAGACAATCTCCCCCTAGGACGGCAGCTGAACCTCTCAGTTTTAAATCTTTCTCTCTAGTTTTATGTTTCTTTCTGGAATCTTCCTCTAATGCTCCTATCACTCCAATAAAGGAATTGTAAGCTCCCTTAAAAAATTTCCTTCTAAGAGCCGTATAAACACACGTCTGAGGATAGACACATCACTGTGCCATTATCAAAATGGTTTTTGAAGAGAGCAATAACTCGGCCTTCTGGTGCCAGACATCTTTGTGTCGCTAGCTCTGGGGACCTCATTTTTCTCCACATGACAGACTTATGACACATAAAAACAAATTTCACCGGACTGACTGCAACCTAGGAACCACATATTCCACGTTATCAAAGTTCACATAAGAATTATCCACTGTATTAATAGTTTCCCAAACAGTGATTTTTTTTTTTTTTTTTTTGGAGACAGAGTCTCGCTTTGTTGCCCAGGCTAGAGTGAGTGCTATGGCGTCAGCCTAGCTCACAGCAACCTCAAACTCCTGGGCTCAAGCAATCCTACTGCCTCAGCCTCCCGAGTAGCTGGGACTACAGGCATGCGCCACCGGCTAATTTATATATACATTTTTAGTTGGCCAATTAATTTCTTTCTATTTTTAGTAGAGACGGGTCTCGCTCTTGCTCAGGCTGGTCTCAAACTGCTGAGCTCAAGCCATCCTCCCGCCTCGGCCTCCCAGAGTGTTAGGATGACAGGCGTGAGCCACCGCCTGGCCCCAAACAGCGATTTTTAAAAATGACTATGACTAGAGCAACCAATCTTAACCCGGTCAATAAAAGAAAGCAAGGCTGAACCCCGTTATTGGTTTCTAAGAATTCAGGGGCCGAAAGGAGGCGGAGGGAAGCAGCACGGAGCACAGGGGGGGCCTCACCAGGTGCGCGTCCAGGCCCACCAGCCACGCCCGGCCACGCCCACCAGCCACGCCCGGCCACGCCCACCAGCCACGCCCGGCCACGCCCACATAGCACTGCCCCCAGGGCCGGATCGGTGGGGGAGAAACCTGGTCTCCCCCAGAGTCCAGACCCAGCTGCGGAGAGCCCGGCCCATCCCCGCGGTGCCCTCAGGAGGCACGTGGAGAAACTGAGGCTCCAGTGGGAAGTCCTTGCTTTTCGACTCACTCAACACCCAACACGCAGGGCTTGTACCTCGCCATGGGGCACCAGTGGAGAGGGGGGCGAGGACAGGCAGGAAGGTCAGGGTCACAAGCCGGGCTCCCTCCTGCTTAAACGGCAGCTTCACCCCCCACACTCACTGGTTCACACCCCCCACTGGTTCACACCCACCTCTGGTTCATACCCCTCACTGGTTCACACCCTCCACTGGTTCACACACCCCCGCTGGTTCACACCCCCCACTGGTTCACATCCCCCGCTGGTTCACACCCCCCACTGG